AAGGAAAAGCCAAAGAAATGTTTTCTTATGGCAGATCGGACTTAGCCGCAACCAACAGACCACTATTTCCTAGGCTTTTAGGAGGGGAAGGGGATGGATAGAGAGATAATTTAAGAAAGAGAGAGAGAGAGAAGAATGAGTTGTGGTGTGAAAAAATGAGGAGGGGAGGGGTATTTATAGTCTTCAGACTGCACCCTCCAGGGGAGGTTTCGTAATTTTTCCCTTTCCAAAACCGCAGGGGGAAGGAGCGGTTCACGGAGGCCGAGGCGCAAACCATTCGCCAAGCGCGCGGTTTTCGATCGCTAACGCGGATCGCTGCGCTAGCGTGCGGTTCACCGTTGGATCGCCGTCTAATCCAACGGAGCTGGTGACCGCCGCCTCTGGAACACGGACCGCACGCTGACAATGTGGTTTTGGGGTTGCCCTAGCGAGGATCGCTCCCTCATTGTGCGGTTTGCACATAAAACGCACTTGAAGGTGCGGTTTTGAAAGAAAGGTGCTATTTTTGGAATTTGTGTAGGCTGGGTGCTATTTTTGGAATTTTTTAGCCCATGTTCGAGGGAAAGCCCATGCCCATGCACGTCTGGTGCTAGCGTTATGTGAGGGTTAGCTATATATTGATGTATGGTGAACGATAAACTTAAGAAATAAGATCAGCAGCCAGAGAGTGTTCTAGCTCTCCCATATACTAGTCCTGTCAATCAGGGATACCACATAAATCGGATTGTGTCACAGTTTTCAATTCCTGGTTCATTTCAATATGTCTAGCACTCCACTCAAGTACACAACGTAAAACTTGCAAAACTCAAAGGTTTCAATTTAATTATTCTCTACCATTTACAACGAAAAGAACGACTATTTATAGCCAAAATAAACCAAATACAAGTCTAGACTAACAAGAAAACAAATTGAAACAAAAAAGAGTAAAGAATTCGCCCTAAATAAGATAACTTGAACACTAAGAAACTAACTTTAAACACAAGTAAATCTGCCCATAAAAATAGGCTCCATACGAACTTTGAGCTTTTGGAAAATGGTCTTCTAGCTTGATAAGAACTTAACAAATTCCTTCACATCGTTTTGAAAGTTTTTTACTTTCATCTCCAACTCGAAGCTTCCTTCTACTGTAATCTAATCTCAACGAATAAGGTTTCAAAGATGGTAGCTCAAACACAGTTTCTGCCTTAGCCAATTTTAGGTAGTTGTCATGTGTCTTCATAGCAACTTCAGAGCCTTTGTAAATGACCGTTGGGACTTGTAATATGATAGAAACTCGTATTTCTGCAGTTTGATTATTTGGATTGTTGTCGGTTTATTGTTTTTTTCGAATGATTGGGATTATTTGTGGTTTATTGTGGGGGATTAATATTTTGGGGTAGCAGTAGAGAACTATCAAGTTATATAAATATTCTTATTAGTGGACTTTAGCCACTAAGCAATATTAAATCTAAATTACTCTCTCTAATCTCTCTCTCCATACTAGGTTGAACCTCCCTCCCTCTCTACCAAGTTGTTGTAGCAGCCTTCTTCTCCCTCTTTCCCTCACCTCCACTCAATTTCCAAACACTCTTCCTCTTCCATTTTCCTAAAGGATCAATCCCTAGTTGATCCCTAATATTTCTAATCCCTAAGTAGAACCCGGTTTGAGGGGTTGTATCATTTGGTATCAGAGGCATACGACTCCAGATGAGGAACGCACGACGCAGCAATGGTGCTCACCAAATCCCAGACGGCAACCGAGAAAACAGCTTATAAGGTCTCCCAAGCGAAGGACATCGCTAGAGCGACGACGGTGACACAGGGCCATGACGGCGAGACGAACGATGTTGCGGTCGCGTCGTCCAAGGGCACGCAGGTTAGGGATCCACCCTAGCAGGTGCCGAAGCCGAGGGAGGAAGTTGCGGTGGTCGATGAAACAGAGGACGAGGAGCTCCGTACCACCTTGCTTTGGGTGGTAACGCCACTAGAGCAGAAGCGGCAGGCTCGGTTGGCAGATTTGCAGGTGATATGGATGATGTTTGACGAGATCAAGGAGGTTCTGGCGAGCCTCCAAGAAAAATAGAGGGGTCGAGAGGCCGAGAAGAATAGCGGTGGCAGCCCGGGTGCGGCGGAGACAGTGGTGTCGCCGCAGGACAGGGTGGTGGTGAAGACAGCGAGCAGCACCGAGACTGGAGGGGCAGCGGCCGACGTCAGCAGGATGTAGCGTGCGAGCCACACTCCGCTAGGGCTGGGTGATGGGTCCGGGATTCTGCCAATGCCCATGGCCCAAGTGATTGCAGCCCGCAAGGGCAAGAGAGAGATGTCAGGCTACGAAACTAGAGCCCAATATCCAGACTTTGGGTTGCTGAACTCTACAGGCCAGGGAAGAGTAGTGGGATACCCTCGGGAACCCAATGGACTAGGCTGGTTGTGCCTAAACCAAGAACCCGAAGAAGATGAGCTTTGTCTGGTGGACCGACACACAGTGGGCCGAGCCGATCCAAGAACGAGGGTGTTGGAGCCCGAATAGGGGGTCAGACCATGGTGCACGATTTGGTTCAATCCAGGAAGGTCGGGCCAAAACAGGTTGGATCAGGACGGGGCGGACTGAGGTTGGTCAAACCAAGGACAAACCGTACTGACCCGACCAGCAGCATATGGAGGCGGGCAGTAAGGGGTCGGTGAGCTAGAAGGGCCTCTATGGCACTGTGGGCGTCTCCGACTATCTGTCCCAGGTCCCACGGGCAACGACGCACCAATCGAACTGCGGGTGGATGATAGGCGCAGGTTTCTGGGAGTCGGAGGGGGCTATGGGGGCTACCCAGGAGGCTACCCTGGCGGCTGTGGGGTGGATAACCAGGGAAGGGAACTACAATTCTCGCGCGGCTACTTTGGACGAATGGCGGGACATGACAGGTATGGGTCATATCACCATTTTTATGAGGGAGATGACAGTTTAGTTTGCGGAAAAAACCTCTTACCATTGAATTTCCAAAATTCAATGGTCAAGAGGATGCAGGATTATGGTTGTATGTAGCTGATAGATGGTTTAAAAACCATACAACACGATAAGAGCGAAAGGCACTCATGGTGTCCTTCTATTTAGAGGGAGATGCGCTACAGTGGTGGGAGTGGATTAAGAGGTCTTATGCTGCAATAGAGACTTTGATCACGTGGCTGATATTTCAAGAAGAGCTTCGTTACCAGTTTGGTAAGTCGGAGGGTTGGACTCTCGAACAGCTGGCCAAGTTGAAGCAGACCGGGTCTGTTGTAGATTACCCAGCAGAGTTCCTTAAGTTGGGAAACCAATGCAAGGGGGTACCCGAGGACACGCTAGTGGGGCTGTGTACGGAGGACTTGAAGACCGAGATCACTGCGGATGTCAAGGTCTTCGGGCCGGACTCCTTGAAGACTGTTTTTTGTCTCGCAGTTATAAGGAAGACGTACTCGCAAGCTGGTGAAACACCATAGGTCGTTATCAGCGGCCTAGCGGAGGAGGGAACACTAGCAGTGCAGCTGTCACAAACAGGGGAGGCAATTCAGGCGGGACAAGCACAAGCACTGTGAGTGAAATGACCGCAACACCGTCGCGAGGCCGACCAGAGGCAAGGGCGTCGCCGAAAGGGTTCGTGAGGTTATCTCTAGTCGAGATCGAGCAAAAGAAGAGAGAAGGCAAGTGCTTTAACTGCAACGAGAGATTCGCGATTGGACGTCAGTGTGCAAGGCCTGATCTGATGATACTGGTGGGGCGCTAGGAGGACGAGGCGAAGGACGAGATCGCGGAAGGAGGAAGGGAAGCGGAGGCTGGAGTTAAGCCTTGAGGACAAGGTTATTTTTAAGGAAGCGGGGATGATAGAAACTCAAAATTTCTGCAGTTTGATTATTTGAATTGTTGTCGGTTTATTGTTCTTTTGAATTATTGGAATTATTTGTGAGTTAATTGTGGGGGGATTAATATTTTGTGGTTCTTGTTATTGGACTTTAGCCACTAAGCAAGATTAAACCTAAATGACTCTCCCTAATCTCTCTCTCTCTCTCTCCCCCTACTCGGCCGAACCTACCTCCCTCTCTACCAAGTTACTGTCGCAACCTTCTTCTCCCTCTTTCCCTCGCCTCCACTAAATTTTCAAACAATCTTCCTCTTCCATTTCCATAAAGGATCAATCCCTAGTTGATCCCTACTATTTCTAATCCCTAGGTAGAACCCGGTTTGAGGGGTTCTATCATAATCTGATCATCCTCCAACCTGTAGTTTAACTCTTGCTCTTCAATTCTCAAACTTCCTTTTGCATTTTCATAGAACCAATTTGAGATATGATTTTTCAAAGTAGACACCATGAATCTGTCTTAACACTTAACCAAATTCTGCCTCATTTCTTGCCAACTTGGATAGCTTCTTTGGCAAGCAATAAAAACTTGCATAGTTGGTCATGTGGGATCATATCATTGAATTTGAGAGTTAACTATTGATGTTATTTGTTAGATTCAAATATTTATTTTTAGATTTTTTATGTTATTTGTCGAATTCGAGTAAAAACGCTCGGATGCTGACATTAAATGTTGTATTTAAATATGAGAATCTTTCATTTTATTTTAAATATATTTTCTTTAAATATGAATGTAGCATTTAGAGAGATCTTCTTCAAATATGTGATATATGACTAATTTCCTACCATGTTCATAATTTCCTACTTCTCTATGTTGTGCTAAAACCGATATGAACGAGTATAAACCGATTATCACTAACAAAAAGTATACAACTTACCAAACTAAACCAACATAACCATATAAACTAATTTGATAACTCGTGCGACACACACTCCAGGCAAAATTGTCACCGGCCCCCTTCCATGCGAAATTGCCCCCACTTTCTCCACTTTTCACAGCCTCCTTGGGCCAAAATTGAAAGCACCCACCAATCCACTTTGGGTTGTCTAAAGTGTTACTTGAGCCTCAGATATGAAAGTTTTCAACTGCACTTTCGCCTATAAACACTGGAAGTCCAACCATACTTGATGACAATCATAGTTGTATAATGGCTTTTCCACAGGATGACATGATCGAAATAAGTAGTGCTCACAATCACAAACCATAAGTCAAAAGCTAAGAGAGGCTCACTCCTAAAAGGGGTAAAGTAAAGCCCGACGTGGAGACTTCCCATCCCTTTAAACACTGATATCAAAACCTCATCTTCCCCAAAGAGAAAAAGAGGAAACTGCATTACAATTTACAACACACCCACAAACATGAATGTAGAGGAAGTCTTCCACATGAACGGCGGCGATGGCGCCAACAGCTACGCCAAGAACTCTCATTTCCAGGTCGGTAAGAAATTCATCTCCCCAATTTTTACCTCGCACTCACTTTTCTGACCTCTGGGTGGTTTAATTTGCGCAGAAGAAGGCTTCTGAGATGGTGAAGCACATAACGATCCAGACGATCCAACAAGCCTACCTCTCGATCCGGCCCAATAGCTTCGGGATAGCCGATTTGGGCTGCTCCTCTGGCCCCAATACGCTCTCCATCGTCACAGATTTGGTGGAAGCCCTCACCCGTGAAATCACCCCGCCGCCGGCCGAGATACGCGTCTGCCTCAACGATCTCCCCACCAACGACTTCAATTCCATTTTCAGATCCATCCCGGACCTCTACCGTCAACTTCGCCAGGCCGGAACCGACGATTTCGCCGGTGGGTCCTCGACCGTTTTCGTTTCCGCTCATCCGGGGTCGTTTTACGGGAGGGTTTTCCCCACTTCTTCCCTCCACTTCGTTTACTCTTCGTACAGCCTTCACTGGCTATCCAGGGTGCGAGTTATACACAAATCATCATAAAGCACTCATCTTTTCCACTTCCTCTGTTTTCGCCTTTCAGTCTGATTTTGGTTCTGTACTGTACTGCCCTAATTCTGCCCGCAGATACCTCCAGGGTTGTATGATGAACAAGGGAAATCAATCAACAAAGGGAAAGTCTACATTGCTGAATCCAGTCCACCGAGTGTATCCAATGCGTACGTAGATCAATTCAAGGAGGATTTCGCTTTGTTCCTCAGGTCGCGAGCAGAGGAGCTTGATGCCCATGGGAGAATGGTGCTGATCTTGACCGGGAGAATCGGTCCTGACCATGTGGATAGAGGGAATTCATTGCTATGGGAGCTGCTCTCTAGATCTTTAGCCATTTTAGCTGCTCAGGTACTAAATGATAAGAGATTAGCTTCATTTAAACTGCAAATTTTTGTATGTTTGAGTAACCATTTTTTATTGCAGGGGGATATTGAGGAAGGGAAACTTGATTCCTATGACGTGCATTTCTATGCACCATGTAGGGGTGAGATTGAAGCTGAGATCAGGAGAGATGGTTGGTTTCAGTTGGAGAGGTTTGAGACATTTGGGATGGACGTGAAATTTGATGAGGTTAAAGGGAGCTTTGGCAAAGAAGTTGCGAGGACTGTTAGGAGTGTACAGGAATCGATGTTGGGACACCATTTTGGGGAAGGTTTGAGCTTGGACAGTTTGTTTGACATCTTTGCTAGATTGGTGGATGAAGAAATGGCCATTCAGGAAATCCAGCCTGCTAATTTCATCCTTGTTCTTAGAAAACTATGAAAGCTTATTCTCGGGTGATCAATAATAAATTATGGTCCCAGTAATCTTGAATGGTTGCGGTAGTTTATTGCATTGTGGTGGCCGGTGGGTGGTAGCAAAGCTCTCTTTAACAACGTTTTTGTGTTGGAAACCCTAAAACTTGTATTGTCTCAATGTAGTTTCAGCTTATATAGCTGTTTACAGTAGTACAAGTGAGGTGCAGAAAATGTAGAAGAAGACAAGGTTGCTTCAACTGCAAGTACAGCCCGAAACGGGTAAAATGGTGAAAAATAGAAGATCAGGGACTAAAGGTGTAAATGTCTATCCGGTCTTGTTTTTCCCTGAAACGATGTCGCTCCAGCTCCTGCGTGGTGTTGGTGGACTTAGCGAAACGCCGTCGTCGTGGTGCTGCCTTTTGCCCGTTGGCTGAACGTCGTCGTCTGGAAGGCGGGATGGAGAAGAATTCAAATGTGCTGAATTCTTCTCTGATAGCCCCCCGCAAGCTGGTGGGCAGAGCTCATGGACACCAAGCTTGGAGAGGAGATGGTGGAAGATGGCCGGGGAGAGAGCTTTGGTGAAGATATCGGCCAATTGGTGAGCAGTGGAGACGTGGAGTACCTTGATGGTGCCAGCGTGAAGCTTCTCGCGGACGAAGTGGCAATCCAGCTCGATGTGTTTCGTCCGCTCGTGGAACGTGGGGTTCTCGGCGATGTAGATGGCCGATTGATTGTCACAGTACAGTGAGACAGCCTGAGGATGGTCAATTTTGAAGTCGTGAAGCAAGTAGAGCAACCATTGCACTTCACAGGTGGTGTATGCAAGGGCGCGGTACTCTGCTTCGCAAGAGGAGCGGGAAATGGTGGTCTGCTTCTTACATTTCCAGGACACCAGAGAATCGCCCAAGTAGACACAGAAACCGGTGACAGAGCGGCGTGTGTCTACACAGGCGGCCCAATCGGAGTCACTGAAAGCCTTCAATTGCAGTGAGGAGGAGGAAGGGAAGAAGAGACCAGTGGAAGGAGCTGACTTGAGGTATCTTAAAATTCTTGTAACAGCTCTGAAATGTGTATGACTAGGGTTAGACATGTATTGGCTTACTTGTTGGGTGGCAAAACTGATGTCAGGCCTCGTTGTTGTCAGGTAGATGAGTTTCCCAACGAGTCTTCTGTAGTGTTCTGGATCAGGGTAGGGATCATCATGTTGAGCTGTCAAGTGTGTCTTGTAATCAATTGGGGTAGTGACTGGTTTGGTGGTGATCATTGATGCATCATCGAGAATCTCCAATGTGTACTTTCGTTGAGAAATATGAATCCCAGAAGCATTTCTTGAGACTTCAATCCCCAAAAAGAATTTCAAGTCACCTAAGTCTTTGATACTGAATTCCTGATGCAGATAAGCCTTGATGTTGATTATCTCTGTGATATCATTGCCTCCAATGACGAGGTCATCAACATAGATGAGAATGCAGGTGTAGGAGGTTGGTGTTGATTTGTAGAACAATGAATGATCCACCTTGCTTGATGTGTAGCCTTGAGAATGTAGTTTTTCAGCAAGTTTTGAAAACCATTGTCTCGATGCTTGTTTGAGACCATATAGGGACTTCTTTAGGCGACAGACAGGGTTCTTGATCCCTGGAGGGGGTTTGTATCCATCTGGGAGTTTCATGTAGACACATTCCTCCAAATCCCCATGGAGGAATGCATTATTGATGTCCAGCTGATGCATATGCCAGTTGTGGATAGAAGCCAGTGCTAGGAATAGTCTAATTGTAGTCATTTTCACAACAGGGGCAAATGTATCTTGGTAGTCAATGCCTTCCTGTTGTGTGTAACCCTTAGCAACCAGTCTTGCTTTCCTTCTTTCTAGGCTGCCATCAGATAGGAATTTGAACTTGTATATCCATTTGTTGCCAATGAGTTTGACATTTGGGGGAGCCTCCACAATGTCCCAGGTCTGGTTCTTGTCAAGAGCTGTAAATTCATCCTGCATTGCAGCATTCCAGAATGGAGACAAAATGGCTTCCTTGTAGGATTCTGGTTCTTTGTAGGAAGATATGCTTAGTGCAAAATGTCTGTCAGTAGGAGACAAGTGATCATATTGAATAACCTTACTGAGTGGATAAGTGATACCTGGACATGGCTGTTGAGTAGGATGACTGGTGGAAGGAATCTGCTGAAACAGGTTGCAATGGTATAGTTGGAGGTGAGATGGTGCTTTGGGAGTTCTAGTGGATCTCCTAGTGGGAGGGTTTGGTGGGGGTGGGGGTGGAGGAGGAGGTGGGGATGGTGAGGTGGAAGGAGAAGGTTGGGATGGCATAGGATTGTATTGATCAGTGTCTGTGTCACTGTCAGGATCAAAATGGATGGTGTTTAAGTCAGTGAGAGTGTGAGAGGGGATGGTGGGGGGCTGGTAAATGGGGCTAGGATCATCAAAAGGGGTGGGGGGTAAGGTTGGAGTTGTATAGGTCAGATTGAGTTGATGAACTGGATACAAGGTGAAATGGAAAGTGATTTTCATGGAACTGTACATCTCTTGAAGTGAATGTCTCATGGGAGGTGAGGTCATAGATCCTGAATCCCTTTATTCCAGAGGTATAGCCAATAAAGATGCCTTTTCTGGCTCTGGAATCAAACTTAGCTCTATGGCTGGTGAGGGTGCTTGCAAAACATAAGCAACCAAAGACTCTGAGGTGAGAGAGGTCTGGTGGTTTTTTGTGTAGTTTTTCAAAGGGTGTGAGATTGTTTAGAACAGGAGTTGGAACCCTGTTGATTAGGTGCACAGCATGTTTCACACAGTCTGCCCAAAAACCAAGGGGGAGGTTGGCCTGGAATTTGAGGGCTCTGGCAACAGCAAGTATGTGCTGATGTTTTCTTTCTACCTTGCTATTCTGTTCAGGAGTTTCAACACATGATTGTTCATGGAAAATGCTAGTGGTTTGGAAAAAATCATGCATTCTGAACTCCTTGCCTTGATCACTCCTGATTCTTTTAACAGGAGTGTCAAATTGTCTTTCAATGTAGTGGCAGAACTCTTGCAATTTAGGTCTAGCCTCAGATTTTGCTTGTAAAAGAATAACCCATGTCATCCTAGAGAAATCATCTACAATGGTCAAAAAATATCGATATTCATCATAGCTAGGAACAGGGTTTGGCCCCCAAATATCAGTGTGTATCAATTGAAAAGGATGTTCAGTTACAGTTGAACTGGAAGGAAATGGTAGTCTCTTTTGTCTAGCAAAATGGCATACATCACAGGGTATAGAGCTGTTTGTTTCTATAGATGTACATAGTTCTTTCAAAAGTGGTATTTTGGAGTGTGAAACATGCCCTAATCTATGGTGCCAAAGGTCAAAAGGTGCACTACTGGTTGCAGTAGTGTGTTTAGGTATAATAGAGCTATCTATGTTGTCTAATAGGTAGAGGCCATGGGACAGCTTAGCAGAACCAGTCATCCTCCTCAGCTGCATGTCCTGAATCAAGCACACATCAGAAAAGAAAGTTAAGCAAAGTGATTTGTTCTTGCTCAACTTACTGACAGACACTAAGTTGAAGTTAAACTGAGGGACATATAAAGCTTCCTCAAGCACCAGGTCTGGGAGACATCTCACAGTTCCTGAGTGACTAGCTTCAACTCTTTGTCCAGTGGGAAGAGTGATGTAAACACCACTGATTTGTTTGTGATGTTGGAGAAGATCAAGGGAACAGACAATGTGGTCTGATGCCCCAGTGTCTAGGATCCATAGCTGGTTGTATGGACCCTTGTTTTGTGCATTGAAAACATATTTACCTGAGGATTCTGGTTTGCTGGTGGTGAAAGCTGCAGCTGAGAAACTTGGTCCAGGAGGTGCTTGAGCATTCTGACTCATCATCTGCATAAACTTCTCATACTCAGCCTTAGTAAGCTTAACTTCTTGCTGGCCCTTGTCTCCAATCATTGTGGTGGCTGCATTGACTTGAGGTCTTCCTCTTCCTCTTCCAGTTCCAGGAGGGTAGCCATTCTTTTGATAGCACTTGTCTTCTGTGTGCCCAAGTTTTTTGCAGTGAGTGCACTCAACTGGTCTTCCAGTAGCAGTCACACCCCTTGGAGTCATGCCAGGAGGCCAGCCATGTTTGTGAAAACAAACATCTTCAGTATGCCCCAGTGCTTTACAGTAGGTGCAATAGGGTCTGGTCCTCTTGTTTGCTGGGATGTTACTGTGAGAGGCAAAGACAGTGCTCTCAGCAGCAAGGGCTTTGCCTTGATGGCTCCCATACTGTTGTCGCTCATGCTGAAGCATCCTCTGGAACACCCTGTCAATGGAGGGGAGTGTGTCCTGGAACAGAACCTGTGATCTGACTGCACTATAGTTCTCATTAAGTCCTCTGAGGAACTGAATGACATAGCCAGTGTCCCTGTAGCCTATGACCTGTCTCATAGCCCTACATGTGGAGTGACTGGTGGGGGTACAGTCACAAGGATCTAAAGGCTGGTAGTTGTCAAGCTCATCCCTCACAGCAATCATCTCACCGTAGTACTCAGTTAGGGTTTGGTTACCTTGTTTCATGGTGGCTAGGGCCTCTATCAGCTCTGCTATCCTCACCATGTCCCCTTGTCCATATCTAGCTCTTAAGCTTCTCCATGCTTCTGCAGCTGTCTTGAAAGACATGATTGTCTTCCTAATCCCAGGCTCAACTGCTTGTTGGATCCAAGACAGGACCATGATGTTGTTCCTGTTCCAAGACCAGGCTTGTGGACTGTCTGCTGCTGGTTCGGCCAGGGTGCCATTGATGAACCCGATCTTGTTCTTGGCTCCTAGTGCATTGTACATCGCTTTGTTCCAATCATTATAGTTGGTGGTGGTGAGTTTCTCCGCCACCAGAACTTGCCCTGGTTGTTCAGAGCCGTGTAGGTAGTATGGATCTGCCATCGGATCCTGAAGTGTGGTGGTGTGAGCAGCATTGTTGTTGGCTGCTGCATTTGCTCCATCAGTGCTCATGTTCACATCAGCCATTGTTGTGGCGGCGCCTAGGGTTCAAGGGAACCAGGCTCTGATACCATAACAACGTTTTTGTGTTGGAAACCCTA